TTCTTTTCGCTCGTTATTGCGAACTAAACCCCGAAATGAGCAAGGGGCGCCCCATACTCATATTATTCAACATGTCTCTCTCCCACCCCCTCTGCAGTGGAACATCTCGGACTACTTCTTCCAGCGGGGCGAGACCATCACCCAGGACCTGGGTCGGGAGGAGGCGGCGGTGCAGAAGCAGGCCAGGGAGCGCGGCGAGACCCTCCACCGGCCCTTCCACCCGGCGCCGCCCTTCGACTGCCTGTGGCTGTGTCTGTACGCCAAGCTGGGCGAGCTGTGCGTGGACCTGCGGCCCGCCGTGCGCAAGAGCGCCGGCCAGACGCTGTTCTCCACCGTCGCCGCACACGGCACGCTGTTGCAGCAGGCCACCTGGCACGTGGTCGTCTGGAAGGTAAATGCGGCGCCTTTACATGCAACCGCGGGCCGTTTATAGGCGGCAGTGGTGGCTCAGGAGGTAGAGCTGGGGTTGCTGGTTCGAGTTGTCAAGGTGTCCCTGAGCAAGACACCAAACCCTAACCGCTCCCGGCGAGCTGGCTGTTGTCGCCTTGCATGGCTGACACCGCTGTCAGTGTATGAATGTGTGTATGAATGGGTGAATGCGAGGCAATAATTGTAAAGCACTTTGAGTGGCCACAGTTCTGCAAAGCACTATATGAATGCAGTCTGATTACCATTTTTTGTTGTCATCGAGAGTTTAAGTTTCAGTTTCAAAATGTCCATAGCGTCCATTTGCAAGCGTGCAGAAATACGTCTTCAAGATCGACGACTCGATACAAACAAAGCAATGAAAACAAAATGATAAAAACAACATGGCAAAGATGGACAACAAACAACGTTTAATGGTTAAAAAGGAGAAAGAATGGTCAGTAGACTGGCCATAGGGGTTTCTTAAAATATGGGTCAGGACCCAAAATGGGTCGTGATCCCAGTTGGAGGCGGGTCATGGCCTGTTAATGCGCAGAACCCCTCTCACAGACACACTGAAATTGTCTTTTGGGTCCAGAGAGGAAAAAGTTTAAAGAGCCCCTGGATTAAATAAAAGACTTTAACTTTGAAACTCCCTGTCTCAGGTGCTGTTCCACCTCTTGGACTGCGTCAGGCGCTCCTCCACCACCGCTGACAAGGAGAAGATCGAGTCCGGGGGCGGGAACATCCTCATCCACCACTCGCGCGACACGGCGGAGAAGCAGTGGGCGGAGACTTGGGTGCTGACGCTGGCGGGCGTGGCTCGCATCTTCAACACCAGGCGATATCTGCTGCAACAACTCGGTGCGTGTTCACTAAGGATCTGGACTTGAATTGTTTTATTATAGAAGCAGGGTGCTTATCTGCAAAATGTCTGAAACAATATTAAGTAAATTACACGGCTTTGTTGAATATTCTGGTCAATTACGGCATTCTACTGTGTTATTTCTCAATGGCAGACCGCTGCAATGAATAACCGACCGTTGCTATGGGCGCTATGTTATGTTATATTTTGTGTGAAATGATTGATTTCCTCAGTAAGTAACCGTGTGATAAGCGGGATAATGTACAGCGAGCCAGTCATTATTATTTTTGCAAAATGAACCCCTTCAAGGTGATTCAAGACCCTTTATGAACGGTCCGCTGTAAATTATCCCTTATATAGAAACGGGGTGCTCATCTAGTAAAGGTCTGACGTAAAGTGCTTTAATACCACCCGGGAACAGTTTGCTTTTAGGAGGTCAACTCGCTAAATAACAAAGGTTATATGCGTAACTCTAAAAACAACTTTCCTTTCCGATGTATTAAACTTTTTCAGATTGTAGCTTGTATCGATCTCTCGTATTGAGTTCACTGCATACTGCATACTGCAACTGCATACTACTAACTGAATTCTAACCTCATCTCTCTCATGTCTCTCCAGGAGACTTCTTCAAGGCCTGGGAGGTGCTGCTGGACCACATCCAGTCCGCAGCCCTCAGCAAGAACAACGAGGTCTCCCTGGCCGCCCTCAAGAGCTTCCAGGAGATCCTCCAAATCGTCACGCCCGCCAGAGACTCGGACAGGCCGGGGGACGCGCTGGCCTCCCTGGGCGTCCCCCCTGTGCTCATCGACCCCCTCACCGCCTCGGGGCCGGGCAGACCCCTGGTGCGCTCGGATTCGCTGGTGGAGCGGCTGACGCGCTACAACGGCGCCGAGCTGCAGGTCCCGCCCCCCGGCGAGGAGTCGGCGCTGGAGGATGCGGCGTTGTGGTGGTCCGCGTGGAACACCTGGTTCCGGACGGGCACAGACAGCACCCGGCCGCCGCCCGCCGCCGCCGCCTCGGAGAAGCACTCCTTCGTGCCCAGCCAGCCCTTCCTCACGGCGCTGATCCAGATCTTCCCGGCGCTCTACCAGCACATCAAGGCGGGCTTCAGCATGGACGACCTGCGCAAGCTGGGGGTCATCCTCCACGGCGCCGTGTCGGTGCCCATCAGCAGCGACGCCTCGCCCTTCATCCTGCCCTCCTACACCGAGGCCGTGCTGACCGGCCTGCAGGACGCCGTGCTCACCGCTCTGGACGTCCTGCAGAAGGTAAAGGCCTTGTGGTCCCATCCCTCTTCAGGGGCCCCATTTTGTTTTAGGGGCCCCATTTTGTTTTAGGGGATCCCAGGCCTCTTTGGGGCCCCATTTGTTTTCATCATTAGTCATTTTTAGTGATCAACTTTTCTTATTTTCATATCAATGAGTTAGATCTGTTCTGCTGGACCACACATGCAAGGAATTTGACTCTGGTTTCCAGGCACTTGCAGTATATATATATATCAACATATCATGTCAAAATAATTAGTATGTTAAAAGAATACAAAAACTATATTTATATTCAAGTATTTACAAAAAATGAATATGTATGAATATGAATATTCATTATATACACGCTTCCCTTCATCACCCTTTGACCGGTCGAATCCTGGTGGTTTTGTAATCTCCTCGTAAGCCTGTAAGCCCGCCCCCTGGTGGATTGCATTCATCTCTCTCTCTCTCTCGCTCTCTCTGTGCGTCTCTCTCTCTCTCTCTTCCTCCCTCCCTCCCCGCTGCTGCAGGCCATCTGTGTGGGCCCTGAGAACCTGCAGGTCATGTACCCGGCCATCTTCCAGCAGCTGCTGCTCTTCGTGGAGTTCTCCTGCAAGCCGCCCCAGTACGGCAAGATGGAGACCAAGCATGTGGCCAATGCCAAATACAACCAGGTAGGGGAAATGGGAAAACGGTGGGGAGCCCCAGGGGGAGGGAGGGAGGGGATAAGACGGTTCTTGTTGAGCTCTCTCTCTCTCTCTCTCTCTCTCTCTCTCTCTCTCTCTCTCTCTCTCTCTCTCTCTCTCTCTCTCTCTCCCTCTCCCTCTCTCCCTCTCCCTCGCCATCTCTTCTGACTGTCTATTTATGTCAATGTGAGTCATGGTCCTTCTCCGTCCAGTTTATCGGTAAGAACAACAACGTACCTCTGGTTGGAGGGTCAAAGCATCGGGTGCGTGCACAACTGCACATCCCCACCCACCCACACACATAGACACCATAGACCACCGAAGTAGGGCTGGCGATATGACCAAAATCGCATTTTCTGGTACCAAAGTAGTTATTATCATAAGTAGTTAGTATTTATTACCGAAGTAATAAATTAATAGATGATATAAAATAACCACATGGTATAGTCTATTTGTGTATACTCCTGTGTGAATATTTTTTCATCACTTTACTGTAATGCAGCCTTTAAAACCAAGAGAACTGGTTAAATATCTTCAATCACAATCTCGTCCATAGTTATTTACTTCACCAGCGAAGCCGTTTCCCAGCTTGTGTTCTTAATGAAGGTTTTTTTTTTTTCTTTCCCCCCCACTCATTGTTCTCCAAGAAGCCAAAACATCCCATGTGTGCTTTTAATTTTATGTATTTATTCATTTGCTTTTATCAACTGGTGTCTTCCAACAGCTGCTCGGCTGCTCGGTCTTGGCTCGCACTGTACAGCCCGGTGATGCACTTCACGCTAACGAAGGCTAGCGCTATTCACGCACACACTCCTCCCAACCCCCGTCCCGTTTGCCTCTGAGCCATGTAGAGGCCAAGCTCATGTATCAATCACACGCAGATATTCGCCCCTTGACGTGTGTTGATCTGCGAGTGTGTGCAACAGGTTTACCCAAAGCAGTCAATTAAATTCCAAAAACAAGCAGATGTGCCGGGTGGTCTCTGTCTCCCAGAGACGTCATGTGTTTTTCTCCAGGCTTTTTTTTTTTTTTTGCCTTTTTTTGTCAAGATCCGACTGTAACTGCTTAATGTTTTCCAGACCCATCCGTCCTAGACCATAATCCCCCCCCCCACCCACCCCCTTGCACATCTTCACTGTAACCCAGGCGGTTGTTTAATGGAGGTCTTCTCTCGTTTTGTGTTTCTCTGGGACTGACTCACGGGACGATTTGAAATCGTTTTAATAGATCCAACTGTTTGCTCCGGTGAGTTCCACCACATAACACAGACCCCCCCCCCCCCTCTATCTCTCTTTTAGTTTTTACCTACTACTAATTGCTCTGTACGGTCGACCCACCTATACCTACCCGGCTACCCTCTGCGGGTACGGGTTTGTTGTTTCACTGCATGGTAGGCTTTTGTTTTGTATGTCTCGTCTACATCGCTCACTCACTCACAGTTACTAGTCTCCCCCGATGATGTGTTTCCTGTGCACAGCTACGCGTATCCTGTGCTTTCCCCCGTGGCACGCTGTGTTTTTGTTGTTGGGGTCTTTTATTTTTGTCTTCATTTTGGTTCTGTTTGGGTGGCGTCACATGTGCCCATTTTGTTCTGTTGTGTTCTCATTAGGGATGGGCGATAAAGAGTAGATGTATATTAGCGTTTGTTATTTTTATTGTGTTTTTTTCAGTGGTGTCGTATTGTGATGACGCATCCCAGATTTGTCACACAATTATATTTATTCAATTAGAAAGGATTCAGTCCAAATTACTCCCTCTTTGAAGCACATTTTTTACTCTGATATCATACAGCATGGCTGGTCCCAGTGGGAATTGAACCCCCTAATCCTGGCAATGTTAATGCCATGCTCTAGTTCAAGAGCACTAGCTGAGGACCACAGGTTCCTCTATGTAGTGAGATGGTCTATCAGTGGGATGTTTTTCAAAATATATATATATAACATGGGACCTTCCCATGGTTATCATCATGATGAGCGTAATCCTTTCCTATCGCCCAACCCTAATGGCCATGCTTAAAGACACACCTTATACCATTGGGTTGTTGTAGCCATTGTTACATTGACAAACATTGTATCTCGGCAACAAGTAACACAATGAAATTGACTTTGTGCATAGAAAAATCTATTTCTGTCGGTGGGTGTAGTTCCGCCCGGACACAGTGTGTCTTTAACGCTGCTTTGAATGTGGGCTTTGACTTACGGCAACTTAATGTACTAATTCCCCTCCGATGTTGGACCGACGTCCGTAATCTCTGGGGTTTTTTGCTGCCCCCTGCAGGCGGAATGGGTTGCCTTAAACTACGTCCCCTTTGCCGAGCGCTCCTTGGAGGTGGTGGTGGACCTCTACCAGAAGACCGCCTGCCACAAGGCCGTCATCAACGAGAAGGTTCTGCAGAACATCGTCAAGGTATAACTGTTCAATTGTAAAAGGCCCAAACTACAACGGGGGAATCATGGAAGTCTACATCATCTCTAGACTAAAAAGCATGGAATTAGTATTTTTGTCTTTTTGTATTTTTTGTCTCTTTTTTTGTATCCATGTCATCGTTGATATTTGCCGTCTCATCCCCTTATGTTTGTCTACTTGTATTTATGTTTAAGGGATTCTTAAAAAAATCATTAAAAAATCACAAAATACCTAGGATGAAATGTGCACATTTCATTTATTATTAATGTGACTCAACCTGTCAAATATCTGTAGGCTTCTTCAGTACAAACAATTGTTTGCTGCTATAACATACTAGAACAGAATGGTTTCTTATGCTGATGTATTGCCAGAGTTTTAGTGTTTGCCAGGGACTCGCCTTCCTTCCTAACCTCTTATTATCCTCTCTAATGCGCTGACATTGAGAGTGAATACTTGAGTGGTGCTCTTAGATAAGGTTTTCCAGAACTGTGAAGTATGAGGTCTCAACTGTTTTGATAGGTAAATGGTAGAAGGTGAACCAGAGAGTAATTGTGTTCAATAACCTTGCAAAGTATTGTATCCCAAGCATATAAAGGGATACAAATAATCTACATTAAGGAGAATTACTCGTATGTCGATGGAGCTCTAGTTTACGAATAAATACAACATTGCGCCTCTCTTCCCCTTCCTCTTTTAAACTCCCCAGACCCTGAGGATACCTTTAGGGTTGAAGTACGCCTGTCCTTCAGAAAGCACCTGGAAGTTGGCCGTCTCCTCCCTGCTCAAGGTGCTGTCCATCGGGCTGCCGGTCGCGCGACAGCACTCCCCCTCCGGGAAGTTCGACACCATGTGGCCAGAGCTGGCCCACGCCTTCGAAGACTTCCTGTTCACCAAGAGGTGCGGTTCACGCCACTCGACCTCGATGTCGGTTTTTTTATATAAGAGGGGCAGGATTAGCCTTCTAGTGGCGAAGGCGTTTGAGTCTCTCAGCCCAAAGGTTCTGGGTTTGAACCCCAATGGCCGCAGGCTACCTGTAAGCATCCTAGAGCAAGATGCTCAACGCCTATCTGCTTATTCATTAAATTAGTCTACAAAAATATATATTTAAGGTGCTTTGGATACATACCAAAATGGTAAATATAGAAATACATGTATGGGCTGTTTGTCGTCCCACAGCACCCCGCCGGATAATTTGTCCATCCAGGAGTTCCAGAAGAACGAAGCCATTGACGTAGAGGTAAAGACAAAAACCCGAGTGTGACCCACATCAGCGCTTGGCTAAGTGTGGTAGCGCTGAAACTGATGCGCTCTCTGCTTCTGCTAGGTAGTCCAGCTGATCAGCACAGAAGTGCTACCGTTCGCCAACTTCATCCCCAAAGACTTTGTGGGCCAGATCATGACCATGCTCAACAAGGGCTCCATCCACTCACAGTCCTCCTCCTTCACGGGTACGACCACAACCACGACAAATGCCCCTTTTCATGTAGCTAACCTCGCTGTTGTAAACTTGTGACTCACTTTGATAATACTTTTAAATTTGACTTTTAAATTTGACTTATCGTGTGTATGGACTAAGGGTAAGCTGCAAATGAATTGCTCTTCTTGGGATCAATAAAGTTATCTGAATCTGAATGACTTACCTGCATTGGTGAGGAGAGCTAGGAATTCAAGAATTTCATGCCAGCAGTGGCCGCTCCTGCCTGTTTTTTTTGTTTTGCATTGGACAAATAAAGAAAAAGAACTTGAATTTGATCTCGAATACGCTTCAAGTTTGAGTTCCCTTTTCCAGAGGCGGAGATCGATGTGCGGATGCGGGAGGAGTTTTCCAAGGTGTGCTTTGAGACGCTGCTGCAGTTCTCCTTCAGCAACAAGGTGTCCACTCCTCAGGAGGGCTACATCTCCCGCATGGCCCTCTCTGTGCTGCTCAAGAGGTCCCAGGACGTGCTGCACCGCTACGTGGAGGACGAGAGGCTCAGCGGCCGCTGCCCCCTGCCCAGGTAAGGCCTGGTGCCATTAGGCCTCTGCCCCGTGCCCAGGTAAGGCCTGGTGCCATTAGGCCTCTGCCCCGTGCCCAGGTAAGGCCTGGTGCCATTAGGCCTCTGCCCCCTGCCCAGGTAAGGCCTGGTGCCATTAGCCCTCTGCCCCCTGCCCAGGTAAGGCCTGGTGCAATTAGGCCTCTGCCCCCTGCCCAGGTAAGGCCTGGTGCCATTAGGCCTCTGCCCCCTGCCTGCATAAGGCCTGGTGACATTAGCCCTCTGCCCCCTGCCTGCATAAGGCCTGGTGCCATTAGCCCTCTGCCCCCTGCCCAGGTAAGGCCTGGTGCCATTAGGCCTCTGCCCCCTGCCTGCATAAGGCCTGGTGCCATTAGCCCTCTGCCCCCTGCCCAGGTAAGGCCTGGTGCCATTAGCCCTCTGCCCCCTGCCCAGGTAAGGCCTGGTGCCATTAGGCTGCTGCCCCCCTGCCTGCATAAGGCCTGGTGCCATTAGCCCTCTGCCCCCTGCCCAGGTAAGGCCTGGTGCCATTAGGCTGCTGCCCCCTGCCGGCATAAGGCCTGGTGCCATTAGCCCTCTGCCCCCTGCCCAGGTAAGGCCTGGTGCCATTAGGCCTCTGCCCCCTGCCCAGGTAAGGCCTGGTGCCATTAGGCCTCTGCCCCCTGCCCAGGTAAGGCCTGGTGTCATTAGCCCTCTGCCCAGGTAAGGCCTGGTGCCATTAGGCTGCTGCCCCCTGCCCAGGTAAGGCCTGGTGCCATTAGGCCTCTGCCCCCTGCCCAGGTAAGGCCTGGTGTCATTAGCCCTCTGCCCAGGTAAGGCCTGGTGCCATTAGGCTGCTGCCCCCTGCCCAGGTAAGGCCTGGTGCCATTAGGCTGCTGCCCCCTGCCCAGGTAAGGCCTGGTGCAATTAGGCCTCTGCCCCCTGCCTGCATAAGGCCTGGTGCCATTAGGCCCCTGCCCCCTGCCCAGGTAAGGCCTGGTGCCATTAGGCTGCTGCCCCCTGCCCAGGTAAGGCCTGGTGCAATTAGGCCTCTGCCCCCTGCCTGCATAAGGCCTGGTGCCATTAGGCCCCTGCCCCCTGCCCAGGTAAGGCCTGGTGCCATTAGGCCTCTGCCCCCTGCCCAGGTAAGGCCTGGTGCCATTAGGCCTCTGCCCCCTGCCTGCATAAGGCCTGGTGCCATTAGCCCTCTGCCCCCTGCCCAGGTAAGGCCTGGTGCCATTAGGCCTCTGCCCCCTGCCCAGGTAAGGCCTGGTGCCATTAGGCTGCTGCCCCCTGCCCAGGTAAGGCCTGGTGCCATTAGCCCTCTGCCCCCTGCCCAGGTAAGGCCTGGTGCCATTAGGCCTCTGCCCCCTGCCCAGGTAAGGCCTGGTGCCATTAGGCTGCTGCCCCCCTGCCCAGGTAAGGCCTGGTGCCATTAGGAGACAGCAGACCGCAACCCCCCCCCCCCCCTCCCACACACACACACACACACACACACACTTTCTCTTTATTATTACACGGCTTTGTTGAATACTCATTATTATACTCAATTATTTCAGACCGCTGCTATGAATAAAAGACTGTCGCTATGGACGCTATTTCCAACTATAGAATCAAACAGACTTTTTTTTTTGTCATTTTTAAATCAACAAAATATTTTTTGGTTATATTTTGATTGACAAATGAATGATTTCTTGAGTAAGTAGCCGTGTAATAAGCGGGATAATGTAGAGCAAGTCGGTCGTTATTGCCGGTCATTATTATTATTTTCCCTTAACGGGGGAAAATATCCGTGGTGTGTTCCTTCACAGCGTATCCCCGCTAGCAACATGGTCTCTACTCTGGGTAATGTAATGCAGCGGTTTTCAAACTGTGGGTCACAGCAGGGGACTAAGTGGGTCGTGGAATGGCCACAATAAACACTGTATGAAAGGTTGTTTTTTTTCTCCTCAAAAAATATACAGTATATGCCCAGTCTGTTTCATTTCACCAACGTTATGTTTAAAGAATGAAAGGGGGGGGGGGGGGGATACTGTATTGAAGAACAGAGAGAACAAAGAGACATGTTTTTTTGACATGGTAATGAGAATGTACGTTTGTATTTATGCATTATGTATTTTTACGCCACAAAATACTCGGAGGATCCTGGGACAATGCCGTCACGGCATGACGTTTGGGAACACCTAATGTAAGGGGACATACGCCCCATGTTTAAAATACAGTGAGAAATTCAACATGGAGTCCCAGGAGTTTCTACAAAATGGACTCTAAATGCAGCCTTCGCTGGGTCTTTAGCGGTGGGTCTTTAGGGGTATGTGGGTCCTGCTGTTCTGTGTGGAGATCACAGTGGTGCTTTCCTTCCCCCCTCTTCTTTCAGGCAACAGGTGACTGAGATAATTTTTGTCTTGAAGGCGATCAGCACTTTGATGGATTCCCTCAAAAAGACCCAGCCGGAAAATGGTGAGTTTGAAATTGGTCCGAGAATTAGATCTTAAGAATG